TCTTCACAACCTGATCAAGCGTCGACCGGACGTGGACTCCATCGAGCCAGCCCCTGCACGCTTTGATCCATCACTACTAGAAACATCGGCCGCATCAGCCAGTTCCATCGCCACCTCAAACACACCAACTCAAACTTACACAACTCATTTATGGTTTATCAATGTTGGAGGCCATCAGAGCTACTCAGCTACTCACTTTCATCATCTGACATAGCTTCGTTTCCATTCTCTCCACTCCATGACCCGCCGTCTCGGCCTCCTCATTACTTAGTTCAGTGGATATGTCAACTAACCCTTCAAAGCCTCTGGGTACTGCGCCCAAGTTTTCATGAGAGTATTTTAAAGTGCAATTAGATTCATCGGTATGTTTCAGTTCGTACCTATCGTTGTCTAGAATTTTAGTTATGATAAAAGGTCCCCTAAACTTTCTTTGCAGTTTAGTTTGGTAACATTCGCTACACTTAACAAAAACGTAATCTCCCCGAGAAAGAAAAAAAAGGTTTTACTTGGGCTTTGCCTTTACTAAATTTAACTATTTCCTTTTGATCTGCGTTTTCAGTGTTGAGGGAAGTTTTATTCCGGATATTGTCTAAATCTAATCTCGGCTCGTTTGAATTTTGGGCTATTAATGATATCCCTAAAGATTGCGCGCGAATGCCAAACATTAGTTCTTTTGAAGTATATCCTGTAACACTACGGCTTGTGTTATTAAGTGCTAGATGACTCTCCCAGATCAGAGTAATTTAGTAAGATGGGGTTAAGGTACCGAAAACACTTGCTATATCTGCGGAAAGGCAGTTGGAACTGCTAAGCATTTGCTAGTGAGATGTAAGGTTCTCCTGGACAGCGGTCAATTCTCGCGTCGTCACTATAGGGTTTTAGAGATCATACTTGAAGCGGTTAGTCTTTCGGTAGCCAGAGCGCAAAGGGAAATAACCACAAACGAGCGATCAATAGGTTTTGTGAGAGAGAGCACCAGGGCTATAAAATCAAACGTCAAGCCTTACTCTATCCTTAAAGCGGATATTTGTGCGTCAGCCTCCAGACCAGACATATTTCTATATTCGCGTATTTTAAAGCGCGTTGTGATGATAGAGCCTACGGTGCCTTGGGAAACCAACATCCCCAAAGACCATGCCATCAAGGTCATTAAGTATTACGAGCTCACTAACGAACTAACTCGAAATAGGTTCGTCCGCGGTAGAGGTGGGAGCGAGAGGCATAACAGCCAAATCTCTCTACAACCTACTAAAAGACTTGGGCCCGTCCAGAACCAACATTAATTCATTCTCGGAACGTACGTCGAAAGCAGCCCTAGCAGGTTCCTTCCAAATTTGGCCAGGTAGGGAGAGGAACTTGGACAGTGGAGGTGAGCGTACAACGCGCGTTAGTTAAGGGGCCCCTTAAACCCACACCTGGGTCGCAAGTCCCAGGCACTGCTGAAGCTCCCCTCCCTGCAACGCGATGGACCCGGCACCCGCACGGTGAATCCATTGAATGCTAAGCGGTTTCGTCCCTTGTACCTCAGGAAGTTTGTCACGCCACGTTTTATGGGTATCGTTTTCTATAATAGTTAGCAGACATTTTAAAATCTGCATGACCCTTTCTACTTGACCGTTGGCTTTATTTGCCCCTGTTGTTATAAAGTAAAGTTCTATACGAGGTGTTTTACTCAATTCTCTAAAGTCCGCGCTTACAAAGCCCCTTCCCCGATATAACAATTCGCTTGAGAACACCGAAAAGAGAAACAGCTTTTCTCAACGCTTTAATAGTACAACTGGCATCGAGGGATATAGTATGCTCTTAAAGGACATACTTGATAACATAATCAATCATTACTGACGCGTATTTCTTTTCTGTCGCTTTTGCCACTTAATGTCCCAGTCATATCTATGTGAATAGTATGCCAATAAAATGTATGCAAATCCGTAGGAGAATTTACATGGCCATAATAGCAATAACCCCACTGAATAAAATTTGGAGAGATAGGAAAATTATTAATGGAACAAAAATGCATCTGATACAAACGCTTGCCTTCTCTATATTTCTATCTATCTAGCTATCCGATTCTGTATAGTGCAAAGACGTGGACTATGAAAGTCGTTGACAGGCAAAGAATTGATGCCTTAGGAATGTGGTGATGACGAAGTATGTTACGCATACCTCAAAATATGGTCAGCGCTTATCTAATATCTATTTGCAGCACATACTGGCGTTGATTGGTCAGTTCCCTGACAGAACTACGGACAGCTTTAAACGTCCGCTAGTGATTGAAAAAGTGGACGGTAACCGAACTAGAGGACTAAATCCCAAAAGGTGACTGGACCAAATCCCAGAACACCTAAAAATACCTGCCTGCGTTGCACTCCATCAAGAAACTAAACGTGTCTATCTCAGTATGGATATGGTTGATTTAAGTCCATACAAGGGACTGATGGACAATAGGTTACCAACGACTAACTTTGTTTCGCTCAATTTTTTTTCGATATAGCATATTGTTTCTAACATCGTAGATGTGACTAATTGAATCGGGAAACTTATTATTTAAGAGCTGAGCAACAATATCTTGAAGATATGCATCACGTTTTTGTTCTACCGCTAACCACCCTTGATTTACCTCTACAAACTGCACAGACTTATTAACTACTTGAGCCTTGCTTTTGTCGCTCTTGGAAGTGCCCTGCTCAGGGTCATCTATGTACTCTCGGTGTTAATTTTTTTTTTTTTTTTTTTAACTAAGAAGCTTTGAAAGGATTGCCACCCGTGAAAACGATAAAATGATGACCATATAGCTTTTGCTTCAAATATTCTTCCGCTCGAACGACTGCCGAGGTCTCAAGTTCATAAGAATGATACTTTTATTCCGTGTCAGTTTTCCGGCGACTGAAATATGAAATAACGTGAGGAACTCCGTTCTTTCATTTAATTAAAATGGTACCGTATCCGTTGGCGCTGGCATTCGTGTGTAATTCTATAGGAGGCTCGCGATCAAATATAGTTAGAATAGACTCCGTGGTAAGTATTTGAACTATCCATTTACGAATATTACCGTGGACTTCTGACCGTTTAATTAACCCCTTTAACTTAGTGAGTAGACATAAGGATCGTACTAGGCGGAAATAGTTCGGTATAAAATTTCTAAAACAAAAGGCTTACTATAAGAATTGGTGTTAATCTCCCTAGAGTCAACATACATTATGTCAGAGTTGTCATTCGGTTTTTTTTTTTTTACAATTAGAATGGGGCTTGATAAAGTGTAAAATGATTGTTTCAAAGAGGGCATCCATTTTTTTTTTTCGAACAACCTCTTATAATTTGTAAGGTCTCTCTTAGACTATGTTAGGGTCTAAAGAATTAGGGTCTAAAGAGTTAAGAGGTGCCCTTAATAATAAAATGAGTTATACTTCTTAAAAACATCGATAAGGGCTTTGTTATCGTCGCCTTCCAAATAAGTTTTGATACAAGAAAAGTTAAGACTGTCTGAGGTTGGGCACTTATCTGTTTTTGTCGTTTCAGGTTTTGAGAAAATAATGTAGTCACTGTTTATCTCTCCTTTAACCCCCCACTCTACAAGGTACCGTCCAACAACCACGGATTCAAGAATAATATTCTCTTTAATAATATGAAACAAAAGAGACACTGAAACACTTTGAATTATGACCGGGCTTAAAATTTGTGTATTACAATAAGTCTATAGACGTAGAAACACTAATAATAATTGACTGTTAATGTACACGAAGTATGACTAGAGTATTCAGTACCGAAGCGCAAGGTTGAATGACCTTTATTCGCTAATACGATCTAATATTAAAATCTTACGAAGTGGTGGGTAAGCGTGAAACTCATATCGTCGCCCGTTCGCTTCGACCGTATACTACGCGTTCAGATGCCTTTCAGGGGAACTACTTCATTGCTCAAAGTACACAGAAATTTATTTGAAAAATTTTCAGATACAGACACACATTAGTACTACATGAACAAGTACACCCACTACTAAAAAGAAAAGGAACAGTCTCACCAGATGACGTCGTCAACTCCCCTCGGCTCGGCCCATGGTCACACAGATATCTCCTTCACCGGCGAGCCTCAATTACCGGTACCTTTTACGATCAAGACACGACGAGACGTCCTAACCCTTATATCTGCTTCCGTACGATCCAGATTGAACCGGATCAACTACGTCGTCGAAGTTAGTTGAGAAGTTGACATTATTTTCATCGACAAGTTTCTCATTATTTTTTTACAAAGTTTAACATAGATGGATGATCACTACTCTCCTCATTTTAAAGCCCTTTCGATCCCACTTCTGATGTAGGAGGGCGTTATAAGAACAGGAGGGCCTTCATGGGAACTCATACTTTGAAAGGGATAAAGTACAGTCTATTCAATACGACACCAACTCAATCGAAACACTAGATATCACTATCACTTCGATACACAGCGATTCGTCACGAGCGCGGTGCGCGGGCGTCATCTCGCACGATACTCCATCATAAAGATGGCTGCCCTCGCTACCATCACAATGACGCTTCACTAGGCTAACCTCAGACAGCTAAAAGTCAACCTGACGTATGATTTTTGACGGATGCGCCGTCAAGTATAAAAACTTATAATGTAAGTAATGCCAATAATAAAAAATATAATAATTAGATATATGTAAAAAAAACACCATGAAGCATCAGCATTAGAAAAAGACATCCATTAAGAGGAACTAGGAAGACCGCGGCCGGCTGGCAGGAGACGAGGGAGGGAAATGAATGTTTTATAAATATTGATATAGTTAGTTATGTATACAGTAGTATCTCTAACGACAGAACTAATAGTTGTCATAAGGGATTTCAAATAAGGGGAGTCGCGTTCGAGCCGCCGTAGTGATCGGACGTCTTTCGATCGAACGTATTGGTCGGCCGCGGACAGCGAGTGAGAACAGACGTGTGTGTGTACTTTATATATATAAAAAACGGATTGCAGTGTTGTGTGATATGTGTTAGATTTTAAACCTGGATACTCTGGCTACTTTGGACTCAGCTGGAACAGGTTGTACTCAGCTTGCGTCTTCGGACGCGGTGGCGGACTTGTCCGCAGGGGAGTTGTCCACAACGATTGTGGGCGCCCCAAATGACCTCAGCTTGATTGTGGATTCAGCTCGGCTCAGTGAAATGGACTCGATGGAGGGGAGTGGTACACCGGTAAAGATTACTGGTATCACCAAAACGGACTATGGCGAAGATTATGTGGACACTCGGCTCGGTACAGGTGAAAGTAGTCGTAGTAGAAGTGGCTCAAGATCCCGGTCTGCAACGGACCCAAGCCTGTTAAAGGATCTAAGAGTTTGTGTGCCTCAGCTGCCTGAATCACAGCCATCCAGCTGCAATATCAGGGCTGGCGAGACATATATGTCTGTAGACAAAGCTACAGAGTATGGGCGTCTATGGCGTAAACGGCCGCTGGTCCAGTGTTCAGCAGAGATGAACTCTAACTCTGACTCTGATACACAACCCACAGGTGAAACCCTAGCTGGGCCCGCGAAAGGGGCGGGTCACAAGAGCAAAAGGGGTAAAGGTCGTTCAAGAACCTCTAGCCTGACTCAAGTCAGAAGAAAGTATGTGGCGGCTAAAGAAAAGAATCTACACCTCACCTCAGAAGAGGAAGTGCTAGAAACTAGCAGAACAGTAGCTCAGATGTGGGAAGCACATCGCTCTTTGGCGAAACCGCAATCTGGAGTGGATGTTTCTAAGGAGACTATGGAGTCCCTGAAGGGTATCGTAGATGGCTATCTCGACGTTATCACTAGTGTTGCCCGAAAGTCGAAGAACCTTAAAGGGACAATGATTAAGTCTCTAAAGGTGGCAACCGAACGAATTAAAGAGGCGGTAGGCGAGCTTATGGTCCGTTCTATCCCGGAAGAGGTAACGCTTTTGAAAGCAGCTAATGCGACATTAGAGAAGCAGATTGGAGACCTCCGAAAGGAAATAGATGATTTGAGAAGGCAGCCTGTTGCAAAGGCTCAAAACACCGACGAAATTGTGCAGAAGGCGTTGGTAGCAGTGGGCAACATGATAAATGCCCGCTTTGCGGGAATCGAAGATCGGCTTCTACCTCAGCCCAGACTAAGACCCGCGATAGCTGCCGACAGGCGACAGACCGCTAAAACACCAACGGCATCAGGTGCTTCGCTACAGAGTGAGGACTTGGAGGTCTTTCCTGCCCTCCCTCCTTCTTCCTTCCCTAACACAACGGAGAGTGGGAATCTGAATGCAAAAAACGGAAAGAAGAACAAAACAAAGAAGATGACGATGGCCGCAAAAGAAGCAATGGCGACTGCAGCAGCACGGACAATGATTTCAACACAACCGATTTCCTCTAACGGCAAGTCTGATGTAGCGAAACCGACTGAATGGAGCAGGGTAGTGGCAGGCGGAAAAACAAATACGATAGTTGAGGCTAACAAGAAAAAGAAGGAACCAAAGCCAAGGCTACGACCGCCAAAAACTGCGGCTATCACGTTGACGTTGAAACCGGATGCAATCACTGCTGGAATGACCTATGAGTCGGTACTTTGCGAAGCGAAGGGAAAGATTGATCTTCCGTCCCTGGGCATCGAATCGGTGCGCTTCCGAAAGGCTGCAACTGGAGCTCGTCTACTTGAAGTATCGGGAGAGGGCATTCATTCAAAAGCGGATACGCTGGCCGAGAAATTAAAAGCGGTCCTGAGCCCGGATATGGTAAAGGTGCAACGTCCCATGATGCGCACTGACTTTCGGGTCTCTGGACTTGACGATTCAGTGAAACCCGAAGAGGTTGCCGAAGCTATAGCCAAGCTGGCCGCCTGCGAGGTTGGTTATGTCAGGGCAGGTCGAATAGGGCCCGCTGGGGCAACAATCGTCAGTTGCCCAACTACCTCGGCGAAAAAAGTTGTAGACGCTGGGCGAGTTGTTATCGGGTGGACTTCTGCCAGGGTTGTACCGATTATGCGAAAACAACAGCGTTGTTATCGTTGCTTAGGAGTGGGCCATGTGGGGGCTATATGCATAAGCGAAACCGATCGGTCCCGCCAATGCTTGAGGTGCGGTCAGGAGGGTCACGCTGTTCGTGACTGTAAACAAGACCCTCATTGCGTCCTTTGTGCCGAGGCCAAAAAACCAGCTGCACATCAGACTGGGGAGCAGGGATGCACCAGTTGTAAGTCCAAAGGTGGACGCAATAACAAGACTGCATCTGGTCAGCTCAAGGAAAGGCAGGGACAGAGTATGTTAACGTCCTTTGCAGTCCCCCTGGACGTAGCGGAACCCATGGATGCTACCCAATAAATGGACCTACAAGTGTTGCAAGCGAATATAAACCACTCCGCGAGGGCTCAAGACCTATTGTTTCAGACATTGGCGGAGTGGCAGATACAGGTTGCGGTGGTCGCTGAACTCTACGTTGTACCTCCCCGGGATAACTGGCTGGGAGACAGTGAGGGTCTGGTGGCTATTGCTGCCCTTACGGCCAATGGCTCCCCAACTATTAGCTCTAGGGCCAGAGGTAGGGGATATGTCATGGCCGATGTGGGTGGTACAACCATCATTGGGGTGTATTGCTCGCCAAATTCGGGTCTTGCTGCCTTCGAGCAGCTGCTCGTTGAAATCGGAGCCCTCGTTGGGAGTCTACATTCCTGTCCATTGCTAGTCGCCGGTGACTTCAACGCTAAGTCCACTACGTGGGGTTCTCCAGTAACGGACGTGCGGGGAGAGTTGTTGGAGGAGTGGTCGGCGAGTTTGGGTTTGACTGTTCTTAATAATGGGTTGGAACACACGTGTGTGCGACACAACGGGGGTTCAATAGTTGATCTTACATTGGCATCTGACTCCCTTGCTCGCCGTGTGTTAGGATGGAGAGTGGAAACGGATGCGGTCACTCTGTCGGATCACAGATACATCCGATTCCAAATTAAATGCGCTACCTCGATTTCTCGGCGGATTGATTCTCCTGTCGTAGGTGCTCGCAAATGGGTTGTCTCGCGATTCGATAGATCGTTGGCTATAGAGGCCGCAATAGTACAATCTTGGGCCAGAGGCGACCATATCTCTGGGGATGTAGACGAGGAGGCAGACAGGTTTATGGAGGCTCTAACCAAAGTCTGCGATGCAGCAATGCCGAGAGCCAGACCAGCGACTCCCAGGCGCCGTGTATACTGGTGGAGGGAGGAGTTGTACGAATGGCGCCGAGCCGTTTCTTCTGCTCGTCGACGATACACCCGTGCGAGAAGAAGAAGGATAAGGGACCCCGAGGAAGAGACATCGCTTTACGAGTCATACCGGCAAACGTGCCGGGACCTGCAAGTGGCCATATGCGACGCCAAAACCACTTGCTGGAGAGAGTGGCTAGACTCTATTAACAGGGATCCATGGGGTAGACCGTACAGAGTCGTCAGAGCCAAACTTCGACCCTGGGCGCCGCCCATCACCACGAGTCTAGAACCACAGTTCGTGGATCGTGTGGTGCAGACCCTCTTTCCACAAAGAAGGGAATGGACACCGCCAACTATGGTGCCTGCCCATTCCGATATATTCGAACTGGAAACAGTGCTGCCGGTGACAACCGCTGAGCTTGTGGTGGCTCTTAGAAAACTGAAGTCGAAGAACACTGCTCCGGGTTTGGACGGTATCCCTAGCCGAACTGTTGTGGCTGCTCTTGGACCCATGACAGATTGGGCGAAAGACCTGTTCTCCCTGTGCCTGTCACAAGGCCGCTTTCCTCGTCAGTGGAAAATGGGGAAGTTGGTGTTGTTGAGGAAAGACGGACGTCCGCCAGAGGAGCCGTCGGCATACCGTCCGATTGTGTTGCTGAGCGAGATTGGCAAGCTCTTCGAACGAGTGGTCGCCGACCGGCTGTCAGAGTGTCTGCAACCGGGACTGCATGAAACCCAATATGGGTTTCGGAGAGGAAAATCCACAATCGGTGCAATAGGGCGCGTAAAAGAGTTGGCGGACCGCGAAGTCTCTCGAGGCGGGGTGTTATGGGCGGTTTCGCTGGATATTTCCAATGCCTTCAACACCCTGCCGTGGGAAACTGTCAGGGAGGCTCTGCGATACCATGCAGTGCCCCTCTATCTGCAGAAGTTAGTGACGGACTATTTCGCTGGTCGCCGGATCGCATTCCCAGTGCGTGACGGGTCTTGGAGAGAGCAAGTGATGTCTTGCGGTGTTCCACAGGGGTCTGTCCTTGGTCCCCTTTTATGGAATATCGGGTATGATTGGGTGCTGCGCGGTGCCTACCTCCAAGGTGTCAGCGTGACTTGTTACGCAGATGACACTTTGGTGACAGCCCGTGGCCCCAATCACCGAGAGGCGGCCATTCTTACCAAGGCAGGCGTAGACCAGGTAGTTGCAAGGATTAGGGCGATAGGTCTCGAAGTGGCTCTGCATAAATCTGAGGCTATGGCTTTCCACGGGCCCCGTAATAAGCCTCCTGCGGGAAGTCACATTGTGGTTGGTGGAACCTCCATTACTGTCGGTTCCGAGATAAAATATCTTGGACTTGTCCTCGACAGCAGGTGGAAGTTCGAGGAGCACTTCCGGCGCTTGGCAACAAGATTAGTGGCTGCAGCCGGAGCTCTAGGGCAGATCCTCCCAAACATCCGGGGCCCAAATGACGCTTGTCGACGGCTCTACACTGGTGTCATTAAATCCATGGCGTTGTACGGTGCGCCCATATGGGCGGGCACTCTAAGCCGTCGCGTTGTGGCTTTGCTGCGCCGACCACAGCGAACCATGGCGCTTAGGGTGGCCCGGGCGTACCGTACTGTTTCATATGACGGTGCATGCATTCTCGCAGGGACTCCGCCGTGGGATCTCGAAGCTGAAGCCCTCGCAGCGATATGGAAGCGACGCACTCTCGCTTGGCAGGAGGACGACGGTTATCCCCATCAAGATGAAATAAAGAAATGGAGAGCGGAGGCGCACGCTGAAGTGTTGGAGGAGTGGGCAATGCGCCTACGTGACCCGGGATATGGGCGGGATTTGGTGTGGGCCGTCCTTCCCCACCTTAAGCAGTGGGTGGATAGGAAGTTCGGTTCCATGACATTCCACTTGGCGCAACTGCTGACCGGACATGGATGTTTTGGTCGGTATTTGTGTCGAGTGGTGCGCAAGGAACCCTTTCCAACGTGCCATCATTGTGGAGAAGAGGAGGATACGGCACAGCACACCCGTGCCGTATGTCCCGCCTGGAACAATTTTCGAGGCGCTCTGGTGGCTACCATAGGGCCGGACCTCTCGTTACCGGTCCTGGTTAGCGCCATGATAACGAGGGAAGAGACCTGGCAGGCCGTTGAACTCTTTGCCAAGACAGTGATGTCGGCTAAAGAAGAGGCAGAGAGGGAGAGGGAGCGAAGCATCGCATCCCTCCCCATGCGTCGTGGGAGAGGTGGTCGACGGCGTCGAGCCTACGTGGCGGCTCTGGTCCTCACGTAGCAACATCGTCGCGCGCTGGAAGGAGACTATGGGTGGCGGACGGGGATTTCCGTCGCCCATATTAGAGGGTTAAGGTGATGCGCGCCTCTCATATTTTGAAGTGAGTCAGGACATCTGACAGCCATTGCGTTGCGGTGCGCTATAGCGAACCCGTGACGCCTCAGTGGAAAGGAGTGGAACACCCCGGTTTAGGTTTAGTGGGTCGGGGCGTCCCCTTCAGGGGCGTCTGTCCTCCCCCTTCAGGGTTGGACTACCATCCCCACATAACCCGACCCAGTCCCCGCTAGGTCGGGTATGTGTAGAGCACATTCCCCCGGGTAAAAAAAAAAAAAAAAAAAAAAAAAAAAAAAAAAAAAAAAAAAAAAAAAAGGGATTTCAAATAATCAATTAAATGGTGAGAAGACATTTTTGAACATCTTAGGTTTAAACCAGGATTAATGTTTATTAAAAGACAAAAATATACATATTTAAAGAAAATATGAAATAAATCTCGATACTTGCAAATCCAGTGAATCTGTGGTTTAAATTTATATTGTATTTAAAAAGCTTTATACTGTTTTATAATTTTAAAGTAAATATAAATTAAACACTGCCATTCTTATATTACATAAAAAACTATAAAGAACTTTTTTTTGGTTTGTAGTTATCCAGTGAAATTATAATCTCTGCATATTTAGAACACTGTTTTTGTTTTGCATATGTAAAGAAGTGACACAAGTAGTTATTTCGCGATACTGTTTGTAGGCACTTTCCTTTATTTAGATAAAAAAGGTAATAAAGACTGCACATTATAAATCTATCAAACCACATGTAAGTATATAATAATTCTAGGATGACTTGAATACCTATTTCAATATATTCAATTAAATCAAATTTTTTTGTTTTTTTATTTTTAAATTATGAGCACCAACTTCTAAAGTAAAATAATAATATTGTAAAATATTATCTATAGCTATAAAATATAATTGATTATTTATAGTTTTTTTATATTAGTAGTATGTATTGTGTGTCTATAACTACTTGGGAAGTAGCTTACTTTAGATACTTACTTAAGTATAGAGTTGGTACAGCATTTTGAGTGAGTCATTTACTTGAAGAACGGTAAAACTGTTCAAAATGACGATCACATATTCTTACATTGTTATAAATGTAACAATCTTCCTTTTGTTTCATGTCTTCATTTAAAATATTTTTCCATTGAATGAATTTCTCCAAATTTGGGTATAATTCAGGTTTAGGAAATGGATGAAAAGAACCTGAAATGTTTTTTATTAGAAGTCAATAAACTTTTTCGATTGAAATTGATGTAACAAGAGTAGTAATTGATTGTATATATGACAAATAATAATTTTATACATTTTACTAATAACTAAATAAGTATCGTACCTTTAGTCGCACACCGGAATTAACACTTAATAGCCGATTTTCGTGGCATTTTTGCAACTTATCGATAATCCAAATTCGTAGTTTGCAATCAAAATCCAAATGAGAAGAGCCGGGGTCGATCGTAGTTGCAGAAAACAAAGTCCAATTGAGAAAAGCCGGGGTCGATCGTCAAAAGCGTAGAAATTGGAGTCAATGATATATTAAGCGGGGTCAAAATGTTTGAAAAAAAACGTACAGCACAAGAAGAACAGTAAACAACGGCAAATGAACAACGGAAATAATTTAAAATAGGTATGTCCTAAATCCTAATGTCAAATCAATTTGAGAGCTACTTAAGAATTAAGGATATTATCTATGAAGTTATAAAGGAAAATAGTGTCAAAGTTATTTTATCTTGTTCGTTAGATGGCAGCATTTTCTATACATTATTTTCTTACACGGTAATAATTATATGACAGTTTCATCCA